TATATATATATATATATATATGCATACACACATATATATACTCAAAGACAATGTATAATGTAAGGTGACAAATTTTCTCTTAATACAACTTTGGATTGTATTAAGCAAGAAAAGCTTCTGATCAGAGACTATGTATAAATGAGAGATGAAAACTGCTAGTCTGTATAGCAAGAAATAAAAACTGATAAATAGACAGCTAATGCTGGTCAATTAAACAACCACGTCTGGATCTAGGGAGCCCTGGCTTATTCGGTTGGTTTTCTCCCAGCCTTTGCCTCTCCGGTCGGCCTGGTTTCCATGGGAACGTGCTTCAGAAAGCCAAGTGTGGGCTGTTTCCGATGCGTATGCTTGTGTTTTCATAGCATTGCTAGAGGGGCTTCCAGACAGAAGTAGCCAGGGAGACGGTGACAATATGTGGATGGACAATTGGAACGATACAGATCAGACGGCCTTTAGGCCAATGCTAGTGGTTTTTCTCTGGGTTATTCTTAAAAGTACCCATTGTCACTACAGCACACCTTCCTGATTTGACCATGGACTTTCCACACGCATTACAAACATTTCGCAGAGCTGCTAAGTATAAAAGTATCCGATATGTGTTACCATCTTATATTTAATTAAATGCTATGGAACTCCCTGTGATTGTGCTTGTCTTCTGTGGGAAATGTGGATGTAGGGATACCCGCAATGGGCCACACTTCTCCTTGGCCACTGGAAAGGACACATTCTGGTGCCATTTGTTGTCATATGGGTTTGGATTTTCAGAGGAAACTTTTTCATCAATTAAGTGATTAATTCACAAATTAATGAATTAGCAGAAATTCGTCGAGGATCTTCTTTGCATTCGTTTGCACTGTGTTGGGCACTGGGCTTGCAGAGATGAGATGGGATGGTTCCAGCTCACAAACACATGGGGACAAAGACACACACGAACAGTTACAGTGTCATGACATTACTTTAAGACAAAGCATCATCAAGATTCTTAGCTTTAAGCAATAAAAATCAATTTGGCTAATTTCAGCAGAAAAGGAATTGATTAAAGGCTAGAGAGGACTCACAGGATATATGGGAGGCTCAAAGAACCAAACATGGAAGCCACAGAGACACCCCTTATCTCCACGACTGGCACCTCCAGAAACTGAGAAGAGCCACCTCCGCTGCCACCACCAGCCCCAGAGCTGTGACTTCACACCGCTGGCTGCTGGTTTCAAGGCAGAGCTGAAGCCTGTGGTCAACGGCAGCCACGCCCAGCTCGTGTGTCGGGGACCCAGCAGCGGGAGCCTCTTCTGCAGTGAGAGGCAGGCTCTGCCTCAGAGTGGAGCGATCCCCAAATAAAGGAAGGAGGGTCTGCTGCTGGCTGAGAAGCGCACACACACGCACACACACACACGGATGCCATAGGGAAGAAGCCCCGAGAAAGGTAATGTGAAGGAAGTCACACTTAATGTGATAACGCAGAGTAAGTAGCAGGGCGCCAGGTCAGGGAGCCTGGAGTACGAAAAGGATATTCCCAAGCAGAGGAAACGGCATGTTCAAAGTCATGGAGCTGTGACAGAGTCAGAACATCTGGGGAGTTACA